CACCATCATTCGTGGCCCCAAATGTAAGAACCCAGTCAAAACAGGGCGCCGTGGCTTAGTTGGTTAAAGTGCCTGTCTAGTAAACAGGAGATCCTGGGTTCGAATCCCAGTGGTGCCTTTGTGGTTCCTCTGCTTTTCTTTCATCAACAATCAATAACCTCATGCTTTGTCAAAATTGCAGGTGGATGTCAAAGCTTTGTGCTGCAGTTGCTCACCATCCTGGACCCAAATGAACAGAACCAAAATGAAGTCTGCTTAGTTGGTTAAAGTGCCTGTCTAGTAAACAGGAGATCCTGGGTTCAAATCCCAGCGGTGCCTTTGTGGTTCCTCTGCTTTTCTTTCATCAAAATGGCTAGTACCTAAGTTTGTCAAAATTGCAGGTGGATGTCAAAGCTTTGTGCTGCAGTTGCTCACCATCATTGTGTCAAAGACTTTCTTGTTTGAGGAGATCCTGGGTTCGAATCCCAGTGGTGCCTTTGTGGTTCCTCTGCTTTTCTTTCATCAATAAGAAGCAATGCTTTCTCCCCTGACTCAGAGGAGAACCATGAAGTCAGGCAATGTGGTGCCCAAGTTTCTGATACCAGGTGTTGTGTCAGACTTTCTTGTTGGCAACAACACTCACAAGAAATTTTCCTGAAGGCCCTCACAACAGTTGGAATGAGGTGTCACAACAGTTGAATTAGGTGTCCACAGCTTCGAGTCGAGTCGGCGTCAGCTGTTATCCAGGGCTGTGCGTGACCGGTGGAGTTCCCTGCCTTCTACTAAGCAGAAAAGTCTAGGATACGGAGAAAAGGTTGTTGTCCCTGGGTGGGCTCCAACCACAGACCATTCGCTTAACAGCCAATTGCACCACAGAGACCTCGCGACACAAAACTGCATCTGACTGCACAAAGCGATGTTTGCACTTGGCAGCCGACGATGAGGTACCAGAGACAGAAAGGCCAGTGACCTCTGGCAACGACTGCCGTCTGCTTTGGAAGCAAAGCTGCCCGGCTAGCTCAGTCGGTAGAGCATGAGACTCTTAATCTCAGGGTCGTGGGTTTGAGCCCCACGTTGGGCGCTGCTTTTCCACACAAGTGACATTACCCTGCAAAAACACAAGGAGCAGGGGCTTGTTTTCTGCTGCCAAAGCTGATTCCTCTCTCAAGCAACCAACTTTGCTTTAAAAATGCAAGTTCTTCTCTTTAAGCAATGTTTGAAGCTGGGAAAATCTTGTGAAATTGTCAACATATTGGGAAACACTGACATTACCATAGCGCCCTCTTTATTCTTTGTCACAATTGCAAAAAGCTTTACGCTGCAGTTGCTCACCATCGTTCGTGGCCCCAAATGTAGAAACTAGAGTAAGATGGCGGCGCGTGCAGACGCAGCGGCTCCTCTCTGTCCCGAAAGAACGGTGTTTTCGTGTTTATTCTCGTGCAAGTTGGCGTGCTTTTGTCAGCGTACGTTATGTTTGTTCAGCACAAGGTAAATATACAACCGGAAGGATTTGCTAGACATCGGCAGATCTGGAATTTGGAAATTAAACACCACGTATTCTGAGGAACTTCAGAGACACGGTTTACTCCGCTGGCTCACCACATCACCGGCCCCGATTGCGACTCCCGACCCGGAGAGGAGGTGTCGCAGGCGGTGTGAGAGAAAGCAGAAGAGGGGCAAGCTACCCGAGGTACCCGAGTTAGGCTAGCAGCTAGCCCATACAAACTGACTATTCCAATCATCCTCCTCACCAACATACGCTTTTTAGACAATAAAATGGACCACATACGGCTTCTGAGAGCTTCTCAGTGAGCCGCGAGAGAGTGCTGTGTTTTTGTATTCACCGAAACGTGGCTCACCAACAACGTACCGGACTCCGCCATTCAACTTGACCAGCTAACATGCTATCGAGCAGACAGAGCCGTGGTTGAGAACGGTAAGACCCGCGGTGGTGGGGTCTGTGTTTACATCAATGATGCATGGTGTCGTGATGCCACAGTGGTCTGTAGACATTGTTCACCCCTGGCGGAGTTTATGATTGTCAAGTGCCGTCCATTCTACCTGCCAAGGGAATTCACAGCCATCCTGCTAGTTGCTGTTTACATCCCCCCCAGCTCTAACAACAGCGACAAGTACGGGGCAATCAGTGAGCTCTACCAGGCCATCAGCGAACAACAGACAGTCCACCCAGAGGGATTTCTCATCTTAGCTGGAGATTTCAATCATGCAGACCCTAAGACTGTGTTTCCAAATATACATCAACACATTAACTTTCCAACACGGGGAAATAACACTTTGGACCTGGTTTACACAACACATAGAGGAGCATACAGAGCCTCACCCCTCCACCACCTTGGCCTCTCTGACCACATCACTGTTATGCTAATGCCGGCATACAGACCACGGGTGAAAGTCACCAAACCGGTTCAGAGGGAGATCAGAGTGTGGCCAGAGGGTGCCTCCTCAGCACTGCAGGACTGCTTTGCCACCACAGACTGGGACATGTTCAGACAGGCAGCCACCTACAACCAACACATCAACATTGAGGAGTACACAGAGACAGTTACAGCCTACATCACCAAATGCATTGATGATGTTACTGAAACCAAAACCATCACCATACGGGCTAACCAGAAGCCATGGCTGACAGGAGAGGTCCACAGGCTATTGAGGGCTCGAAATGCTGCCTTCAGAGCCGGTGATGATGCTACACTGAGAACAGCCAGAGCCAACCTGTCCCGCGGCATCAGGAAAGCCAAAAAGCAGTTCACACAGAAGATTGCACAGATTTTCAGTGACAGCAGAGACACAAGGAGCCTGTGGCAGGGAATCCAGTCCATCACAGATTATAAGCCCCCACCACGGACCTGTGACAGCAACATCTCTCTGCTTAACAACCTCAATAACTTCTTCGCACGCTTTGAAGCAAACAACTCCACACCTGCACACAAATCACCACCCCCTCTTGACAACCAGGTCCTGTGCCTATCCCCAGCCAGCGTGAAGAGCTCCCTCTCATTTACATTTACATTTATTCATTTGGCAGACGCTTTTATCCAAAGCGACATACAAAAGTGCAAATAGTGGGCAAACAACAGGCACAAGAGCAAGATGTGTACAGGTCATACAATGCTTTGATTCTCCAGAATCAATGCCCACAAAGCTGCTGGGCCCGACAACATACCTGGCCGTGTGCTGAAGGACTGTGCAGAGGAGCTCAAAGATGTCCTTACAGACATCTTCAACACCTCCCTGAGCCAGGCAGTTGTCCCTACCTGCTTCAAAGCAACCACAATAATACCTGTGCCAAAGAAGCCATCTCCATCCAGCTTCAGTGACTACTGCCCTGTTGCACCGGCGCCCATCTTAATGAAGTGCTTCAACGGTTAGTCATGCAGCACATCAAATCCATCCTCCCTCCCTCCCTGGACCCATTCCGGTTTGCATATTGAGCCAACCGGTCCACAGATGACGCAATCTCCACTGCTATCCATTCAGCCCTCACCCATCTGGAAAAGAAGGACTCATATGTGAGAATGCTGTTCATAGACTTCAGCTCAGCATTCAACACAATCATCCCCATGCAGTTAATTCAGAAACTGGATCACCTGGGCCTTAGCACTTCACTATGCAACTGGTTACTGGACTTCCTCACTGGAAGACCACAAGCAGTTTGGGTCGGCAACCACACATCCAGCAACATCATACTGAACACTGGGGCCCCTCAGGGATGTGTGCTTAGCCCCCTTCTCTTTACTCTGCTGACCCATGACTGCACACCAAAGTACAGCTCCAACCTCTTCATCAAGTTTGCGGATGACACAACTGTGGTGGGTCTCATCACCAACAAAGATGAGGCTAACTACAGGACAGAGGTGAGCCAACTTGCCAAGTGGTGTGGCGACAACAATCTCTCTCTGAATGTAGAGAAAACAAAGGAGATGGTCGTCAACTTCAGGAGAGAACACACCCAGCATCATCCTCTGACCATCAATGGTGCAGCTGTGGAGAGGGTGAGCAGCACCAAGTTTCTGGGTATGCACATAACAGAGGACCTCTCCTGGTCAAACAACACCACATCACTGGCCAGGAAAGCTCAGCAACGCCTCTACTTCCTCCTCAAACTGAGGAGAGCCAGAGCCCCAGCTCCCATCATGTGCTCCTTCTACCGTGGCACCATTGAGAGCATCCATACCAGCTGTATCACTGTGTGGTTTGGAAGCTGCACCACCCCCAACAGGAGAACCCTGCAGCGCATAGTGGATGCAGCAGAAAAGATCTCTGGTGCCTTACTCCCCTCCCTCCTGGACGTCTACAACACACGCCTAGCACGTAAAGCACTGAGCATTGCTGGTGACCCCACTCACCCATCACACACGCTCTTCAGTCCCCTCCCATCTGGGAGGAAATTCAGAAGCCTCCAGGCCCGTACCTCAAGGTTGAGGGACAGCTTCATCCACCAGGCTGTTAGGAAGTTGAACTCTCTTCCCTCCCTCAGCCGTCTGCTCCAACACAGAACTGAACTTTGACCCCCCATACTGAAGTCTGGACTATTCTCCACCCATTCCTACTCCCAACATTAATCACACACAAACTCACACATATCTGCACAGTCACTTTACTTACATAACAGTCTACATCAGCTGCTACAAACTGTTGCACTATGAACCACTCTGCACTTTCTTACACCATCCTGTGGAATTTATATTTATATTTTTGTATTTTTACAACCTACTATGTGCCTTGATGCCCTTGTTGTAAATATTTGTAGCTTGTTTTTGTCACAAATGTCACACATTTTTATTTATGTCTGTGTTATTGAGCCATTTGTGTTTATTGTATATATGTGGAAATTCTTGTTCTTCTGCTCTTCTCTCAGTTTCACTGTGTTACGTCTAACTGTTGTATTGTTACCGTGGGCCTGAGAGAAACGCAATTTCAATCCTCTGTATGACCTGTGCATATTGGAGAATTGACAATAAAGTTGACTTTGACTTTGATGTAGGACCTAGCTAAAACAGGGTGCTGTGGCTTAGTTGGCTAAAGTGCCTGTCTAGTAAACAGGAGATCCTGGATTCAAATCCTTTGTGGTTCCTCTGCTTTTCTTTCATCAACAATTCGCTAGCACCTCATGCTTTCTCCCCTGACTCAGAGGAGAACCATGAAGTCTGCTGAAGTCAGCGCCATGTGGCGCTAAGGCTTCGCTGGTCCCAAAATGGCCCAAGTTTCTGATACCAGGTGTTGTGTCAGACTTTCTTGTTTGAAGCAACAAGTGCTCTTTGCTGGGGAGAAGAAATTCTTTACGACCAGTTCAGGCAATGAGGTGACGAACTGGACGTAGTCGGCCAACCCACAACGGGCTTCCTGAACCCTCACAACAGTTGAATGAGGTGTCCACAGCTTCATTATCGAGTCGAGTCGAGCGTCAGCTGTTATCCAGGGCTGTGCGTGACCGGTGGAGTTCCCTGCCTTCTACTAAGCAGAAAAGTCTAGGATACAGAGAAAAGGTTGTTGTCCCTGGGTGGGCTCCAACCACAGACCATTCGCTTAACAGCCAATTGCGCCACAGAGACCTTGCGACACAAAGCTGCATCTGACTGCACAAAGCAATGTGTTTGCACTTGGCAGCCAACAATGAGGTACCAGAGACAGAAAGGCCAGTGACCTCTGGCAACGACTGCCGTCTGGGTCATGGGTTTGAGCCCCACATTAGGTGCTGCTTTTCCACACAAGTGACATTACTCTGCAAGAACACAAGGAGCAGGGGCTTATTTTCCGCTGCCAAAGCTGATTCCTCTCTCAAGCAACCAACTTTGCTTTAAAAATGCAAGTTCTTCTCTTTAAGCAATGTTTGTGAAGCTGGGAAAATCTTATGAAATTGTCAACATATGGGGAAACACTGACATTACCACAGCGCCCTCTTTATTCTTTGTCACAATTGCAAAAAGCTTTATGCTGCAGTTGCTCACCATCATTCGTGGCCCCAAATGTAACATCCAACCAAAACAGGGCGCCGTGGCTTAGTTGGTTAAAGTGCCTGTCTAGTAAACAGGAGATCCTGGGTTCGAATCCCAGCGGTGCCTTTGTGGTTCCTCTGCTTTTCTTTCATCAACAATCCGCTAGCACCTCATGCTTTGTCAAAATTGCAGGTTGATGTCAAAGCTTTGCGCTGCAGTTGCTCACCATCATTCGTGGCCCCAAATGTAAGAGCCAGCTGGAACAGGGCGCCGTGGCTTAGTTGGTTAAAGTGCCTGTCTAGTAAACAGGAGATCCTGGGTTCCAATCCCAGCGGTGCCTTTGTGGTTCCTCCGCTTTTCTTTCATCAACAATCCGCTAGCACCTCATGCTTTGTCAAAATTGCAGGTTGATGTCAAAGCTTTGCGCTGCAGTTGCTCACCATCATTCGTGGCCCCAAATGTAAGAACCCAGTCGAAACAGGGCGCCGTGGCTTAGTTGGTTAAAGTGCCTGTCTAGTAAACAGGAGATCCTGGGTTCGAATCCCAGCGGTGCCTTTGTGCTTCCTCTGCTTTTCTTTCATCAACAATCCGCTAGCACCTCATGCTTTGTCAAAATTGCAGGTTGATGTCAAAGCTTTGCGCTGCAGTTGCTCACCGTCATTCGTGGCCCCAAATGTAAGAGTCAGCTGAAACAGGGTGCCGTGGCTTAGTTGGTTAAAGTGCCTGTCTAGTAAACAGGAGATCCTGGGTTCAAATCCCAGCGGTGCCTTTGTGGTTCCTCTGCTTTTCTTTCATCAACAATCCGGTAGCACCTCATGCTTTCTCCCCTGACTCAGAGGAGAACCATGAAGTCTGCTGAAGTCAGCGCCATGTGGCGCTAAGGCTTCGCTGGTCCCAAAATGGCCCAAGTTTCTGATAACAGGTGTTGTGTCAGACTTTCTTGTTTGAAGCAACAAGCGCTCTTTGCTGCAAAGAAGAAATTCTTTCGACCGGTTCGGGCAATGTGGTGACGAGCCGGATGTAGTCGGCCAACCCACAACGGGTTTCCTGAACCCTCACAACAGTTGAATGAGGTGTCCACAGCTTCATTATGTCGAGTCGAGCGTCAGCTGTTATCCAGGGCTGTGTGTGACCGGTGGAGTTCCCTGCCTTCTACTAAGCAGAAAAGTCTAGGATACAGAGAAAAGGTTGTTGTCCCTGGGTGGGCTCCAACCACAGACCATTCGCTTAACAGCCAATTGCGCCACAGAGACCTCGCGACACAAAGCAGCATCTGACTGCACAAAGCAATGTGTTTGCACTTGGCAGCCAACAAGAAGAGGTACCAGTGACAGAAAGGCCAGTGACCTCTGGCAACGACTGCCGTCTGCTTTGGAAGCAAAGCTGCCCGGCTAGCTCAGTCGGTAGAGCATGAGACTCTTAATCTCAGGGTCGTGGGTTCGAGCCCCACGTTGGGCGCTGCTTTTCCACACAAGTGACATTACCCTGCAAAAACACAAGGAGCAGGGGCTTGTTTTCCGTTGCCAAAGCTGATTCCTCTCTCAAGCAACCAACTTTGCTTTAAAAATGCAAGTTCTCCTCTTTAAGCAGTGTTTGAAGCTGGGAAAATCTTATGAAATTGTCAACAAATTGGGAAACACTGACATTACCATAGCGCCCTCTTTATTCTTTGTCACAATTGCAAAAAGCTTTACGCTGCAGTTGCTCACCATCATTCGTGGCCCCAAATGTAAGATCCAACCAAAACAGGGCGCCGTGGCTTAGTTGGTTAAAGTGCCTGTCTAGTAAACAGGAGATCCTGGGTTCAAATCCCAGCGGTGCCTTTGTGGTTCCTCTGCTTTTCTTTCATCAACAATCCGCTAGCACCTAATGCTTTTCTCCCTGACTCAGGTTGATGAACTTTGACATCAGTTGCTCACCATCAGCGCCAAATGTAAGAGCCAGCTGAAACAGGCGCCGTGGCTTAGTTGGTTAAAGTCCCAAAATGGCCCAAGTTTCTGATTCAAACCAGGTGCCTTTTGGTTCCTCTGCTTTTCTTTCATCAACAATCAGACTTTCTCCTGACTCAGAGGAGAACCATGACATCTGCGCTCATTTGCTGCTGGTCCCAAAAAGAAGAAGGTGTTCTTCAGACTTTCTTGTTTCAGAAGAAATGTGACCAGTTCAGGCAATGTGGTGAGCCGGATGTAGTTGGCCAACCCACAACGGGTTTCCTGAACCCTCACAACAGTTGAATGAGGTGTCCACAGCTTCATTATGTCGAGTCGAGCGTCAGCTGTTATCCAGGGCTGTGCGTGACCGGTGGAGTTCCCTGCCTTCTACTAAGCAGAAAAGTCTAGGATACGGAGAAAAGGTTGTTGTCCCTGGGTGGGCTCCAACCACAGACCATTCGCTTAACAGCCAATTGCACCACAGAGACCTCGCGACACAAAACTGCATCTGACTGCACAAAGCGATGTTTGCACTTGGCAGCCGACGATGAGGTACCAGAGACAGAAAGGCCAGTGACCTCTGGCAACGGCTGCCGTCTGCTTTGGAAGCAAAGCTGCCTGGCTAGCTCAGTCGATAGAGCATGAGACTCTTAATCTCAGGGTCGTGGGTTCAAGCCCCATGTTGGGTGCTGCTTTTCCGCACAAGCGACGTTACCCTGCAAGGAGCAATAGATTGTATAAAGCTACCAAAGCTGATTCCTCTGTCAAATAATGAGAGAAGAGATTGCCGAAATGGGGCGCCATAAACAGGAGTTTCTGAGTTCAATCCCCAGCGCTGCTTTTCTGGTTCCACTGCACCTCTTTTCTCAACAAACTGCTTGCAGTATTTTCGATTCCTGGTTTGACTCAGCGAGAGTGCTGCCATAGCACCGATTTGCTGATTTGACTCAGAGAGAGTCCTGCAATAGCACTGATTCGCTAGAAATGAGTGTTTTATTTGTAGTATTTGCATTATATAAAGGTTATAAGAACACAGCCAAAGTGAATGATGGAATGGGCATATCACTAGTGGATGAAAATGCATGCACTTGCACACAAGGTGCCAACTGTGATGCAGGGTAATTATTAATCTCTGCGTCTTTTTGACAGCAACGCTGACATCCTGTAATCCGCTCCAAGATCGTTCAGGGAATACCCACACTGCCCTGTAAACTGTGGTTATCGATTTAGCTCTTTTCAAAAGCCTTACACACATATAATATTTCAGACACCTCAAATCAGAGAAACTCAAGCTGGTGTTATTCCCTTAAAATGTTTCTGCAGAGCCAATACAAAAATAATTCTGTTTTTAGTGCCACTCATCTTATTCATATGCCCTGTGCCCTGGACTCTTCCATCTTTCTATGTATCTTTGTAATGGAATAAAAGCACGTCAATTTATTGTATCCTAAGAGTACATTAGGAGGTCAGGAGACCAAATAATCAGTATTTTTATTATCATAACAATATTATTAGTAGTAGTAGTGAGTAACCTTATTGCCAGCCCTTTAACAGATCCAGCAGGCAGTACAATCCAGTCAATGACACTCATCACCTCCCTGTAATTTCTCACTGTCCTTAAAGTGTTGGTTCACTCAGGATTCGATGAAACATGATGAAGGGAATCACGTTACCGCCGCGTCTTGTTTAAGCACTGTAAAGAGGTATGCGCATATTGCTGATCCAGTTTAATTCTGGTTGAATCTGCTTTGAAGCCCTTTGAATTTTAGGAAGTACTACCACACCGAGAGTGCCTGTTCAGCCATGTCGTGATGGATAGTGTACTTAAGTCATTTTTGTTCGGCTGTAACCACGAGGGTCGGGCTCATGCCCTCGAAGAGGTATCCCTATGGCATTGGTTTCACACACTCTTAGCTGTTTAACCTATTGTACATAACTTTACATGCTTTCTAGCTTTTTAGGTTAGCAATTGCTGATCATGTAGCAGATAATTAGGCAACTTAATGTGACTAATCTTTTTTAAAAGGACAAGAAAAGAAGATTCTTGCCGAAACCTGTTCATCTAGTGTCCTCTAGACAGCAACTTTTATTGGTTTAAAGGGGCTTTACTATAAAGCCGGGCAGTTTAAAAACCGTGGTGTTATTTATGTTAGGGCAAGCCGTTTGATTGAACTCTGTGTGACTGTGCTAGCCTTGTTACAGTTCCCACAGAAAAACGCTGCAGTCTCAGTCAGCTGCGTAAGGCTGTGTATCTTTTTAACTTGCGCCAAACCAGGTGTCTCCTTTTATCGGAGAAGCCATTACGTAAGCCACTTTGTTTCTTGCGGAGTCGTTTGGTTTGGCCCAAAGCCAGCGTCTCTTGGCCGTTACATCCGTGGAGCATTTAACCCGTCACATATTGGGCTACATCAGAAGAGGACGTTTTTTCAGGAGGCAAGAGCTGTGCTGCAGGGGATGGTGCGCATATTAAGTTCGCATCCAGGCCAGATGGAGTGGAAGCCTAATTTCTTTTTTTTTCCTCCTTCTGAAAACATATCTTACAATGATCAATTTCTCAGGGGTGATAAGCATATTCAGTAAAAGCAGGTAAAATGCTCTGTCAAGCAGTCTATCTCCATATGATGTGTGTGTATACATGTATGCATGTACATACATGTACAGTATACATGTATAGTACACAAGAGGTGTGGATTGTATGGTGTGTGATATTATGAGGGGATGGTGTGTGTGTGTGTGTGTGTGTGTGTGTGTGTGTGTGTGTGTGTGTGTGTGTGTGTGTGTGTGTGTGTGGAGTAGTGTGTGTGAATGGCTTTGAGAAGGTGTGGTGTCTGTGGTGTGTGGTATTAAGGTCACCACTATCCACATTTGTACCCAGTTGCTTTATTAAAAGGAAGTACTGACACATTGATTTAAGTTGTAGAGAAATGAAAAGTGAGTTTCCTGTATTTTGTCAGTAGTGATTTCCTGGGACTTTAAAGATATGTCAGATATTTTCCATAATCAATTCATACCAGCTTTCTGTCTAAAGTTTTGGATATTAAAGATCATTTTAATAACGTAGCCTCACGTAAGATGGAAGACAGTCTGTCTGTTACTGTTTAACAGAGCCTGTATACATGGTGGAACACCATTCATGTACTCTTCTCTTGTTTTAGGAATTCACAGGAAATGCCTTCGCCAAGTATATATTTTGCATACAAGCAATGTCACCTTTTCCTGGACATAGGAAGTGCAGTTATGTTCTACTGCACACAAATCTTGCTCAGTACTACTCCATCTTAGATGTCTACCATGAACTAGCTTTCATGTCTGTCTCTGGCCTCTACAAGTGAGCACTAAGCTAAGGATGTCATGACCCTGGAAATAATTGGAAATTAAATTACAATGATCAAACTGCTCTCATTGCACACAAAAACATCACACAGTAGGAGCTGGATTTTTAGTAGGAGCTCTTTTATTGCCATTTACTTTAAAGGAACATTTTTTCTGCAAAATATAAATACAAATTGGGCCTTTTAATTATAAAGTTTAAACACTTCTCCAAAAACAGCAAACACACCAATCAGACACTGACTGTTATTGACACCCTGCTATTTACAAGTACAAGTTCCTGTTAAACAGCTTATATCATTTAATCTTAAAACTTTTTTACTTTACAAAAGACACAAGAAAATATCTTACATTGACATCTTAAATAAGAGAGAGAAGTAAAACCCAGGTTTGAACAAAGGTACAAAACTGCTCCCGAGGGCAGAGCTCTGTAAGGGAAAATTACTCGGAGAGTCGTCAGTTTCCTATGAATACAAACTCCTTCAAAAGTAACTTTAGCGTTCAAACAATATTTATTCACCCGACTAAGGCAGGCAGGTCTGGAAACCAGCTGAAGTGCACTGAATAAATCAGAACAAACTATACAGCTTCTCCCTCTGTATCTCCACCATAATATTCTTCACCTCAGTGTGACACCATATTGCCATAAGCAATGGGTCCAATTTATAAGTATTAAAATTTGCTGTGGAAACCATTTTTCACAAGGGAAAGAAACATATGACCATATATAAAACAAAACTAACAAATCAAAAGATTACATATATATATATATAGTTTCATATTTATAAAAATAAGAGTCATTAAATTAAGAGTCCTTCTGCATGGTTGTCATGTTTTTTGCTCAGAAACAGCTGGCACACAGCATTCTGAGCAGTCTTACACTATGTACAAGCACGCGCGCCCCGGGTCACAAGGTCTCCATGGCGACGGCATCCCAGCGGCCGTCCAGGCGCTCCAGGGAGGACCCCAGCAGGGTGGCCAGCTCTCTGCCGGCCTGCACCAGGTGCAGCGGCTCGGCGCTGTCCGGCAGGAAGCCCTCCAGCTCGTCGGGGCTGCGCAGCTGGCTGACGGACGCCTGCCGGTGGAACTCGGCCTCGGCGATGGCGGCCACAGGGATGTGCGGGAAGGCCGCGCGGAAGGCCGGGGGGGACATCCTGAGCCGCCCCAGCACGTCCGACAGCAGCAGCCAGTTCCGCGGCCTGCGGGGGGGCAGGAAGCTTTAGTCTCTCTCTGCTCATCTCACTGCCCTTCCGCAGCATGTGAATAACACGCATTTTAAACACAAAGGGTTTTACTCATACAGTTTACACAGGATTCACGACATTTTTTTTTAAATACGCACACACGGGCACACATACACACATTCACACACACAGGCTGTGGACTCCCACAGGCACCAGAGACACTGTGGAAGGGTGACATTTAGTATTTGTTTATTGAAAAATTACGGCACAAAGGCAGTAGTCCAACTCAGTTTCAGGAAACTGATGAGCGACGATGACTCCAAAATCTGCAGGAAGCTGCAGGAACCACACTGCTGCGCAGCCTGTAGGAACCACACTGCTGCTCAGCCTGCAGGAAGCTGCAGGAACCACACTGCTGCACAGCCTGCATTAAAATGCAGAAACCACACTGCTGCAAAGCCTGCAGGAAGCTGCAGAAACCACACTGCTGCTCAGCCTGCAGGAAGCTGCAGGAACCACACTGCTGCACAGCCTGCATTAAAATGCAGAAACCACACCTGCAGGAAGCTGCAGAACCTCAGCCTAGGAAGCTGCAGGAACCACACTGCTGCGCAGCCTGTAGCAAGACACAGAGACTGCTTCATGTGCCAGGCCTCCTGTTGTTTAAGAGCCATAATTGGCCATGGTAATAGAGATTCCAGAGGGGCTGTCATGCCCGTTCCCCCACCTACCGCCCCACTCAGCACCCTGCCACATCTCTCATTCACTCCCCCACAATCTCTGTGACGACTCCCAGCAGGCTGCTGGCTAATGACCCCCCAGGTGAGACATATTACTTTATCAATACTCCGCTAATAATGATCCCAGCCCAGTCGTTTCATTAAAGCCCCTAAACGAGGGCAGTTAGAAACGCAGAGCCAGGAGGCTGGGTGATGGGTAATTACCCGTCTTGCAACAGAATTCTTAATGAAGGTTGGACTGACAGATTGTCCTTCAGTGACAGAACATTCACACTCTCCTTAATTGGTAAAAGCCGGAATTAAAAGGCTGAGCAGGAGGCTGCCTCAGACTGCAACAAGACCATAAGCAAAGTTCGTCCTCCTGAATACTGAATCTCATTAAACCAACAGTAAAATAAAACACATTTTAATGAGTGAATCTGCCTCCGGTTTGAT